AGTGACAGGGGGCACAGGGGTGTCACTGACCGGTGACAGGGGACACAGGGGTGTCACTGACCAGTGACAGGAGTGTCACTGACCAGTGACAGGGGACACAGGGGTGTCGCTGACCAGTGACAGCGACACAGGGGTGTCACTGACCGGTGACAGGAGTGTCACTGACCAGTGACAGGGGACACAGGGGTGTCACTGACCGGTGACAGGAGTGTCACTGACCAGTGACAGGGGACACAGGGGTGTCACTGACCAGTGACAGAGGACACAGGGGTGCCACTGACCAGTGACAGGGACACAGGGGTGTCGCTGACCAGTGACAGGGACACAGGGGTGCCACTGACCAGTGACAGGGACACAGGGGTGTCACTGACTAGTGACAGGGACACAGGGGTGCCACTGACCGGCCAGCGGATCCTCCTCCTCGCTGCTGGTGGACGGCAGCGGCTCCTCCAGGATCCCCCGCGAGTCGGCCCCGGAAATGGCCCCGGCCGAGTCCCGGGTGGACGAACTCTCCGAGGATGAGGCCGGGGGGGAGCTGGGGGGGACATCAGTGAGGGGGGACACCCCAAAACCACGATGCCCCACCCCAAAACCACAACCCCCCCTGTTTCCCACTGAGAGAGGGGGGAAGGGGAGGCTCTCACCTATCGTCCGGAGGCTGAGCGGTGTCGGGGGGGGCGGGAGGGGGTCCCTGGGGGGTTCCAGGGGGGCTTTGGGGGGCTGTGGGAGCAGGGGGAGCCCCCCCCGATTCTTCCAGGGTGCAGGAGGCCAAACTGGAGGTGTCCATGGGGGACCCCTCCAGCTGGCTGCTCACGGCCGTCAGCGCGTCCGAGTCCTCCGCCCGCTCTGGGGACAGCGACGCTGCGGGGGGACACGACACTGGAGCCCCCCCAAATCTTGGCAGACTTCCCCCCACCCCAAAAAGGAGAAAACCCCCAAAAATCCAGGGGATCCCCCCAAAAAACCGAGCACTTACTGATGGTGGGGGCGGGTGACAGCTCCATCTGAGTGGCTTCGGCGTCTTGGGGGGGTCGTCCAGGACCCCCCTCTTCGTGTTCGGGGGGCTGAGGGGGGCGAGCGGGGATTTGGGGGGCTCCTAGGGGGGGGTCTGGGGGAGTCGGCGTCGGTTCCAGCATCACCAGTGTCCGGTGGGGACCGGGAGGGGGGGTCTCTCCCGGGGTCCCGCTGTGTTCTGGGGTGGGGGGGTGGGACACATGCAGTGATCAATATTGAGGGGGACACAGAAATTTGGGAGCCCCCCCCAACCCTGCACCCCAAAAACCTCCTTTTCTTCCCCATTTTGGGGAATCCCAGACATTCAGCTGTGCCCTAAAATGAGAGGGGATCCCAGTGGGGATAGGAGGGGGTTTGGGGGGAAGGAGACAATTTTAGGATGTGAGGAGACAATCTGGGCTGGGAGGAAACAATTTAGGGAGAGGAGAAAATTTTGAGGAGACAATTTAGGGGGAGAAAAAATTTAGGGGTAGAGACAATTTTGAGGGAGGGGGAGGAAACAATTTAGGGCAGGGAACATCCCACCCCTAAAACTAAACCACCCCCCAAATTCCACCAACCCCCTCCAACCCCCTAAAACTCCCCATTAAACCCCTCCCCAAAAACCCGAAAAAACCACTTTAAACCCCCCAAAACCACCCGATTTCCCCATTTTAACCCCACTCCGCCCCTACCCCGGATGTGCTGGTGGGGTGGGGGGATCTCTAAGCCCCCTCCCCGCCGCTGCAGCCCCCCGGGACCCCCCGGCTCCGGCGGCGCGCGCCGCGCGAGGAAGACAGTAGAATGTATAGTTATCTCCGAGACGGGGGTGTGACCCTCCAACTATACAATCTACTACCTCAGCCCGCGCGGCGCCAGCTCCAGGGGGGGATTCGGGGGTTTTTTTTTGGGGGGGGGGTCCGGCCGCTGAAAGGTTTGAGGGGTCCAGGTGAGCTGGGGGGATTTACCTGGGGGGGTGACGTCGGCCGAAGCGGGGCCGGCTTTGGACGCCGCGTCCTGCGGGAGACGGGAAGGTGGGGAATGAAGGAGGGACTCTTCCCCACGTCCCGGGGAGGTTTTGGGGGGTTTTTTTTTTGGGGGTCTCTCACCTGGGTCTCCGCCCCGTCCTTGTCCTCGGGGCCGCGCTCGGCGCCTTTGGCCTCGTCCTCGGCCGCCTGGCGCCGGCGCTTCTCGCGCCGCTCGTCCAGCTCCTCGTCCCGCAGCGCCTCCAGCCGGGCCAGGATGGGCACCTTGACCACTGGGGGGGCAAATCGGGGGCTCTGGGGTGTGTGGGACCCCCAGGAGGGGCACCTTGACCACTGGGGTGGAAATGGGGGGGTTTGGGGTGTGTGGGACCCCCAGGAGGGGCACCTTGACCACTGGGGGGGCAAATCGGGGGGTTTGGGGTGTGTGGGACCCCCAGGAGGGGCACCTTGACCACTGGAGGGGAAATGGGGGAGCTTGGGTCTCCCAGGATGGGCACCTTGACCACTGGGGAGGTCATTGGAGGGGTGTGGGACCCCCAGGATGGGCGCAGTGACCACTGGGGAGGTCATTGGAGGGGTGTGGGACCCCCAGGATGGGC